CATGCCACAGGCACTCCAGCCTGGGTGACCAAGTGAGATACAGCCTAACAAAAAAAAAAAAGAAGAAAGAAAGAAAGAAGGAAAGAAGGAAAGAAGGAAAGAAGGAAGGAAGGAAGGAAGGAAGGAAAGAAGAAGGAAGGAAGGAAGGAAGGAAAGAAAGAAAGAAAGAAAAAAGAAAGAAAGAAAAAAAAAAAAAAAAAAAAAAAAAAAAAAAAAAAGAAAGAAAGAAGGAAAGAAAGAAAGGAAGGAAGGAAGGAAGGAAGGAAGGAAGAAAGGAAGGAAGGAAGGAAGGAGAAAATTTATAACAAAAAATACAGGCCTCTTTATTTTTATTTTTTAAAAATAGGGATGGGGTCTTATTATGTTGCCAGGCTGGTCTCCAACGCCTGGCCTCAAGCAATCCTCCTCCCTCGGTCTCCCAAAATGCTGGGACTATAGGCATGACCCACTTGGCTCTAGCCTGTCTCTTTAATCACCACTTTTGTCTTGCTTTGGAATCTGATTCCTGATTTTATTTTATATTTTGCTTTGGAAATGAGCAATAGGTAGCTTGGCAGAAGAGTGAACAGGTGTGGAGGGAGCTAACAGAGGTTTTGTTGAAACCACAGACTTGCTTTCCTGAAATAAGCATCAGCCTTCATCCAAATGCCTTGTGTAGATTTCCATAAATAAAAACCCGATGGTAAATATAGATTCATTAAAGGGTCTTAAAATAGGAGCTAGGCTGGGCTGTAGGCTTGGGCAGGGGACACAACATAACTTTCCTCTTCTACCCTTTTCTTCTTTTTCTTTACTCATTCATGAGCTTTTATCTGAAAAAGCAGAGAGCAGATGTGCCCGAACCCTTTGGTTACAAATACTTGATTAGCTAATTTGGCTCAAAAGATATTTATTTTGTAAGAGATGAAAATCCAGGGTGGCTACAGATTTAAAGGAACAACTGAACAACTGAATCCAGGGGCCAGGCACTGCGATCTCAGCAGGGCTGAAGCTTTTCTATGTGGTGCTGCCGTGGCATGGCCCGGCTCCAGCTACCTTCTGAATTTGTCTCAGTTCAAAGTACAAAGTCCCCAGAAAGCAATTCTGTTGCCCAGTTTAGGATATAAGTCCACCCTGTCTATGCTCAGGGGAGGGGTCATGTGATTAAAGTCTCACCAGAAGAACATGGAAGCGGCTGAGGCAGCTCCTCAAAAGTGTGTGTGTGAGTGGGATTTAGTGGCTATTACCAGAGGAGGAGGGCTGATGGGAAAACACCATGGTGTCCAAGGCTCTAGAACTTCTCAGAAAGAGCTGTGAGTGGCAGCTATGTCAGATGCCCCCAAAATGCTCTCAGGGCACAAGTGGGTAATTTTAGGAGCATTGAGAGCCAGTTGGCCAGAAGGCTGACATCCAGTGGCTGGTTTATATTCTAAAGATTGCAAGCCAATGTTTTTTCTGCTTCTTCTTACAAGCTTGTAAACAGCTGGCATTCAATGATATTCATTGACTGATGGAACGAGTAAATGAATGATGACACAGCTGTTACATGGGCCAAGGGAGTCTTCTGCTCTATATTAGCCTAAGCAGAATTAGTTTAGGAACTGTTTAATGGTGACTGAAACCCACCAGAGCTATCTTTAGCAAAAGCTGGCCCTTGGTGGGATACTGTTTACAGCAGGCAGGGACAGATGGGAACCAAGGCCTGAATGACAGGGAACCTCTTGTTTTCATTCCTCTCTGAATGTCTACATGCTTTCTCTGGATACAGTTTGGGTTTTTTTGTTTTTGTTTTTTTTTGATGGAGTTTTGCTCTTGTTGCCCAGGGTGGTGTGCAGTGGCATGATCTCAGCTCACTGAAACCTCCACCTCCCAGGGTTCAAGAGCTTCTCCTGCCTCAGCCTCCTGAGTAGCTGGGATCATGCCCAGCTAATTTTTTGTGTTTTTAGTAGAGATGGGGTTTCACCATGTTGGCCAGGCTGGTCTCGAACTCCTGACCTCAGGTAATCCACCCGCCTCGGCCTCCCAAAGTGGTGGGATTACAGGCATGGGCCACCGCACCTGGCCCAATTTGGTATTTTTTAATTTTCAGTCCACCTAGTCAGAAAATAGCTTTCTAAGCCTCCAGTATTTGTATTTCCTCTGCTCAAGAGCCCAGAGTGACTAAGACTGAGCCGCCTTCATTCCCATTCCTGGGGTCTGCACCTGGCTCAGTCAACCAAAATGGCACCGCTGTTATCATGTGGATTTGGCTATAGGATCAGTTCTTGGGAAAAAAGGGAGATTCAGGCAAACGACCCAATTGGTATCTCCGACAAAGCCAAATAATAACTTACTACTTGCTTACATTTGCATAGTACTTTGAGAATACTTGCTATCCATGATCTCGTTTGATTACTGGCACAACCTTATGAGGTAGGCAAAACAGGTATTAATATTCTTACCTCAGATCTACTTTATTTCACCTTGCTGTGGGTCTGTTTTAAAACAGGGCTGGGCATGGTGGCTCACGCCTGTAATCCCAGCACTTTGGGAGGCTGAGGTGGGCAAATCATGAGGTCAAGAGATCGAGACCATCCTGACCAACATGATGAAACCCGTCTCTACTAAATATACAAAAATTAGCTGGGTGTGGTGGCATGTGCCTGTAGTCTCAGCTACTCAGGAGGCTGAGGCAGGAGAATCGCTTGAACCTGGGAGGCAGAGGTTGCAGTGAGTCGAGATTGTGCCACTGTACTCCAGCCTGGTGACAGAGCAACACTCTGTCTCAAAAAAAAAAAAAAAAAAAAAAAGTTATCTCTTCTATTTGCCTTTACATTTATTGAGGGCATAGATCATATCCTTTTCACCTTTGCACTTAGATCTCTAGTATCTAGCTCTGGGCTCTGTACATGATGGGCATTTAATTGATATTTCTTTTTTTTTTTTTTTGAGACGGAGTCTCACTCTGTTGCCCAGGCTGGTGTGCAGTGGCGCAATCTTGGCTCACTGCAACCTCCACCTCCCAGGTTCAAGCAATTCTCCCGCCTCAGCCTCCCTTAGTTGATATTTCTTAAATTGAATTTCTGTTTTCCAGATGAGAAAACTGAGGTCTGGGCTGGGCGAGGTGGCTCACACCTGTAATCCCAACACTTTGGGAGGCTGAGAAGGGAGGATCACTTGAGCCCAGGACTTTGAGACCAGCCTGGGAAACATGTGTGAGAACTTGTGTCTACTAAAAAAGAAAAATAGCTTGGCGTAGTGGTGCATGCCTATAGTCCCAGCTACTTAGGAGGCTAAGCCAAGAGGATACCTTGAGCCTGGGAGATTGAGGCTGCAGTGATCTGTGATCATGCCACTGTACTCCAGCCTGGATGACAGAGAGAATAGGAAGGAAGGAAGGAAGGAAGGAAGGAAGGAAGGAAGGAAGGAAGGAGGGAGGGAGGGAGGGAGGGAGGGAGGGAGGGAGGGAGGGAGGGAGAGAGAGAAGGAAGGAAGGAAGGAAGGAAGGAAGGAAGGAAAGAAACCTCAGGTCCAGAATGCTGAGTGGCTTGCTTTGGGACACACAGCTCCAGGGACAAGAACCTAATGATCTGCAGCCAGTTATCATCCCTCTATGTATCCCAGTGGATGATTCATAACAACACAGATAAGCCTGTGGACCCCCAGTTATATGGTGGCTTAGACTAGGTTCCCACCTGAGAGGTCTCCCAGCAGCTCAGAAAGCCCATGCTGTAAGACAAAGCGCCCAGGCTCTGAGGTTAGAAGCCTGAAGTCTGGTGGCCTCCAGGAAAACAATCTCAGCCCTCCAAGAAGGGTCCTTGCCAGAGGAGTTGGACAAGCACATAAGGAAGACAGGTTATTAAAACCTGAGTTTTCTTTCTTTTTTTTTTTTTTTTTTTTTTTTTTTGAGACAGAGTCCCCCTCTGCCGCCCAGGCTGGAGTACAGTGGCGTGATCTCAGCTCACTGCAAGCTCCGCCTCCTGGATTTACGCCATTCTCCTGCCTCAGCCTCCTGAGTAGCTGGGACTACAGGCACCCACCACCGTGTCCGGCTAGTTTTTTTGTATTTTTTAGTAGAGACGGGGTTTCACCGTGTTAGCCAGGATGGTCTCGATCTCCTGACCTCATGATCCGCCCGTCTCAACCTCCCAAAGTGCTGGGATTACAGTCTTGAGCCACTGCGCCCGGCCAAAACCTGAGTTTTCTCAGGAGTTGACTCAACTCTCTTAGCTGCCTGACATTTGAGTTTGATGGGAGAGAAAGGAGAAAGCAGCTGAGATAGATACTGCCTTTGTGAGAAGCTCCCCACCACCTGGCAGAAGGCAGTCAGGGACAGCTGCAAGCTAGAGCTTATGGTCTCTGAAGTGGGCAAGATCGTACAGTTCCACCACTTACAAAGTGACCTGGACAAGCCACTTTGGCTGTGTTCATTCTCCCAGAGTTGTGTGAGGGTTAAATGAGAAAAATCTAAGTCATATGTCATTATGTAAGGATTATCATCTCTTTTCATTCAAGGTAGCAAAATCAAGAATTGTGCCAGGCAACGATGAAGAAGGCAAAGTCCCTTTCCTCAAAGACTAATGGTCAAGGGAGGGGAGCAAATGGCAGAGTAAAGTGGTGAGGGTTCTAAGTGTGCATCGATCCTGTGGGAGCCCACAGAGGAAGCATCCCCTATATCCTCAGGATAGTCAGGAAAGGCTCCCAAGAGTGTGGAACTTTAGAGCTAGGCTTTTTTTTTTTAGGTGGTGTCTCACTGTGTCACCCAGGCTGGAGTGCAGTGGCATGATCTCAGCTCACTGCAGTCTTGACCTCCTAGGCTCAAGCAATCCTCCCACCTCAGCCTCCCAAGTAGTTGGGACCCCAGGTGTGCACCACCATGCCCAGATAATTTTCTCTTTTTTTTTTTTTTCTGTAGAGCTGAGGTTTTGCCATGTTACCTATACTGGTCTCGAACTCGTTGGGCTCAAGTGATTCACTTGCCTCGGCCTCCCAAAGTGCAGGGATTACAGGCATGAGCCACTGTGCCTGGTCCGAGCTAGGTCTTAAAGGATAGATAAGACTTTATCAGGCAGGAGAAGCTGTGTTTGTAGGAAATGGTGGGATTGTGACAGGGTGACTTTGAGGACATGGAATTACAATATGGCCAAGGGTGACAGAACTATTGTCAGATGCCGTCGGACTCCTTGTATTTACGCTGCAGAGGCCACACTTGGCAGGCTGATTTCAGGGGCATCAACCAAGAAGTCTCCAGGAAATCACAGGCTTTCAAGATTTTTCTTCCCTTGCTTGCTGGCAGTGGCTGTTCCTCTGTTCATCTCCATTTCTTCAGAGCTGGAAGAGATCTGAGAATGATCTGGTGCAATCCTCTGCACCATGGTTGGTATGGATGGGTAGCCCCATGTTATAAACGAGGCAAACGTGGCCGAGAGAAGCTGCAGCCATCCTTGGGGACATGGCCCCTGGGACTGCTTCTCCTGGAATTCAAGATGTTTCTTTTCTTTCCTCCCTTTTAAGTTTCAAATCTCTATTTCAGGCAATACTTGATATATTACGTATTTATAATTCAAGTTTTCAGACTTTTCTTAGCAGCAGGTTATAAAAAGGAGAGAAGCAGAAGCTGAGACAGGGAGGAAGCAAACAGAATGGGGCAGAGGTGGGAGTGGGAGGCTGAAGGCTTCCAGGAAGATAAGCTTCCTCGACTGTTAGTGGATTCCGCATCTGCGGCAATTCTACCCTCATCCAAACCAGAGGCTTTGGGACTGCTGAGAACCAGGACCACCTATTTTCACAGCAAATGACTGGAAGGAACCCAGGTGTCGCATGTTGAGGGTTTATCAGAATAAATGGCTGTTATTTTCTTTTCCTCTTCCCTTTCCTTCTCACCTACCCGTATTAGTGATCTAGTGTTACAGCCGCAGAGTGACAGCAGGGAGACAGGAGTGAGCGGGGAGTATGGGACAGAGGGGAAGAAAGAGAAACAGGCCATACGCAGACCAGACCCACAGGCAGCTCCTGAGCTACCCAGATCGCTTCTCCTGTACAGGAAGAGCTGCGGGCCCGAGGGAAGGGAAGAGGGGGTCCCTGTTGGAGTAACTGGATTGGCAGGAGGCGAGTGGGTCGAGGGAGGGTTATTAATAGGCACTAGAACACATATTTACAACTGGTGGCTTAAATCAAGGGCAGCACATTCACAACTAGCTTCCCACAAAGACATCTGAAGTGTGCAAAGCGCGCTCCCTGAGCCCAGTCCACCCAGGGGCGCGGCCCGCCTTCGTAGGGACAAGGTCTCTGGCGCTGGCCTGGGCGGCTGCGGGAGTTCGCTCCTGGGAGAGCGCCGCAAAACCGAGGGCATCCTTCCCTTTGAGAGGAGGGGGCGGAAGAGGGGAGGAGGGGAGGAGAGAAGAAGGGAAGAAGGAAGGGGGTAGGGAAGGAGGCGGGGAGGGAGAGACGGAGGAAGAGAGGGTGGGAAGAAGGAAGGAGAGAGAGAGGGCGAAAAGGGGAGAGGGGGGCGAACCAGAGAGATGTAGGGAGAGAGGGGAGAGGAGAGGGACTGGGCAGGGGAGGGGAGAGCGAGGGGAGAGAGAAAGAGAACGCGAGGAGGTCGGGGAGAAGAGAGAGGAGAGCGAGAGAGAGCGGGGGGAGAGGGGGAGGGAGAGAGACGGGGGAGAGCGAGACACAGCGAGGGGAGACAGGGGGAGAGGGGAGAGCGAGAGAGTGAGGGGAGGGGGAGTGAGCGAGGGGAGAGGGGAAGAGAGAGACAGAGAAAGGGGGGGAAGCAAGAGAGTGGGAGGAAAGCGAGAGAGAGCGAGGGGAGAGACGGGGGAGGGGCAGAGCGAGCGCGAGCGCGGCGAGGGGAGAGAGAGAGGCGCGCGCGCTGGTTGCACCAGCGAAACCCTGAGCTCCGCCAGCGCTCTTCCCCCTCCCGCTGCCAGCCCTGCGTCCACGTGGGGAAACTGTCCCTCCTATACCGGGAAGAAACGACTCACCGCCTTCCAGAGGCGCAGAAGCTGAGCGCGGGACGCCACGGCCTGGAATCGGCGAGTGACCGCAGCTCCGACCCCGCGGCGGGAGGCCGGCCCGAGCGTGGGAGCCCAGCCCAGGGCCCTTTCTCCGCACTGGCTGAGGACCTAGCCCGTCCTGGGCCCCTCCTCCCCGGGCGGAGAGAACGTCAGCGCCGGGGATCCTGATGCGGGGGCGCGGTGGCGCCGACCCAGAGCCCGCCCGGTGCCCGTGTTGGGGGGCAGAAGGGGAGGGGCGGGGCGCAAGGGGCAGAGAGGGCCCGGCGTCCCAGCTGGGATGGAGTTACCAGAAAGGGGTTCGAGGCAGCCTAACCCTCCGCGCTGAGTCCCGGAAGGCAGCCTCTGTGGCTCCGTGCATTTTGCATGAAGATAGGCTGCTCCAGGCGGCGTGAGGGGTCGGAGGAAGGTCCTCCTGTGGGTAAACTGATCAGAGAGCCGAGAATGGATTCTGGCTCCGACACACGCCACCCCTGCTTGCTTAGTGGCTCTGCACCCCACTTTTTATATAAAGTGGTTATTCAAAGTACCTAGCACATAGGTTTTTGGTGAAGATTGAATGGGAAGGGCAGGTGAAGTCCTTGGCACAGGCCCAGCACACCGACCGATGGACCCAAGAATGTCAATTATTTCTGCTGTTATTCCCTCCAACCCCAGCTGTTCTTTCACAGAAGCAAGGTGGTTGACACCAGAAGAGCCGGTGCGAAAGTTTGGCTTGTTTTAATAGAAAACCCACACTCGCTGAGAAAGTGGATTCTGAGTGGGAAAAGCTTTGGAGTCAGGAGCAGGAACCCCTGTGGTCTTGGGCTTCTGTTGCTTAGTACTGTTCCTTAGTACTTAGCTACATTGAATAACCACCCTGGGCTTCCGTTTCCTGATCAGTGAAATTGGCTACAAAGGTCCCAACCAGGTAGTACCATCCCTTCTGCCTTTATTGAGGGCTCGCTATGTTCTAGGCGCTGCTCTTAGAGCTGCCTCTGGATTATCTCAGTTAATCTCTAAGCTAGTTTAGGAAGTAGTTAGGATTATTTAAAATCTCCATTTTGCACTTGAAGAAACTGAGACTTAACAGAGAGGCTAAGTAAATTGTCCTAGACCACACAGTGAGTCACAGCAGAACTGGAGAGAACTGAGATTCAACTCAGGCAACCTGGTTCCAGAGTCTGTATATGTATATTTTTTAATAGGCAAGGTCTTACTCTATCTCCCAGGCTGAAGTGCAGTGGCGCAGTGTTGCCATAGCTCACTGTAACTTTGAATTCTTGGTCGCTGGGACCACAGGTGTGCACCACTATATCTGGCAAAGTTTTTAATTTTTATAGAGACAGGGAGGGACTCACTTTGTGGCCCAGGTTGGTCTTGAACTTCTGTCCTCAAGAGATCCTCCTGCTTTGGCCTACCAAAGCATTGGGATTATAGGCATGAGTCACTGAGCCTGGCCTCAGAGTCTGTATGTACTCTTAGTCAGTATACCGGCACCTGTCTGTAAAAGTGTTTTCTGAACTCTAAAATATTATATAAATGTTGGCTGTGATTACAGTGAGTAGTACAGCTGGTAGGTCGGTGGGTTCGTCTTTGCATACTAATGGAGGGTATATCTATCAGTGCCTAACCTACTGCCTAGTACTCAATAAGCTCTCAGTCACTCTGCCATCCCTTGCCCACATCCCAAGAAGGAGTGTATCCATGCAAAAGAATGGCAATTCCATCACGTACAGAGCAGGGGAAGAGGGCAGACTATAAAATACTGAGGAGACAGATCATGAAGCTGCAAGCAATTGCACCTGACATCAACAAAACCCAAGGAAGCAAAGATAGAAAGGCTTCGGATTGGAATGTCCCCTACTTTTCATAAAACACAAAGCACGGGAGAGTTTCCCTGATGTTCCACCGGCCCAACAGGCTGCTCTCTGGGGCTCCCACTGACTTCACAAAGGGTTCCACCCAGTAACCCAGAGAACAGGCAAGTGTCTTAGAGGTCTCATCAGTGTCAGGAGACTCGTGTTTGTGAGCAAAAGATTCACAGCCTTCAACTAGGAAAGGCAGAGCCATTTAAAATGTCTCATTGAGTAGAAATGTGGAAAACCACATGTTAAAGTAGAAAGTATTTTATCATTTGAGTCTTAATGTTTTCTACTCATTATTGCGCCCTTAGTCATTTTATAGAGTTAAGGTTCTCAGGGACTAGACTGTTGTCGTCTAACAGTTCTTGAAAGAACTCCAGACGACGTAATCAACTGCCCACTTGACATCTCCACTTGGGTATAGAACAGTGATCTCAAACTTATCATGTCTAACATTAAACTGCTGAGATTTGCCCCCAAACCAGCTTTTCCCACATTCTCCATAAATGGCAATGCTAGCCTTCCAGTCGCTCAAACCAAAAACTTTGATGTCATCCTTGACTCCTCTCTTTCTTTTGTTCCCTTTCTGATTCATCAGCAAACCTGGTTGGTCTAGCCTCAAAATGTATTTCTAAATTCTGACTACTTTTCACCATACCCATTGTCACCTCCCTTTTCTAATTTGCTGTTATCCCGTGACAGGCTTATTGAATAGCCCCTTCCTTCTCACAGTCCCCGCACTTGATTTCTGAAGCCTGTTGCAAACCCAGTAGCCAGAGTGATCTTGTTGAAAAGGCAGACCACACCACTCCTCTGCTCATTAAAATCGTCAGTGTGGCAGGGCATGGTAGCTCACATGTGTAATCCCAGTACTTTGGGAGGCCACGGCAGGAGAATTGCTTGAGCCCAAGAGTTCGAGACAGTTTGGGCAACATAGTGAGACCTTGTCTCTACGAAAAACAAAACAAAACAACAACAAAAATTAGCTGGGTGTGATGGCACATGCATGTAGTCCCAGCTACTCAGGAGGCCGAGGTGGGAGAATCGCTTGAGCCCAGCAGGTTGAGGCTGTAATGGGCCGAGATCACACCATTGCACTCCAGTCTGGGCAACAAAGTGAGACCCTGTCTCAGAAAAAAACAAAAAACAAAAACAAACCTCTTCAATAGGCTGTCTCATTTAAAGTAAAACCAAAGTCCTCCTTTGACCTGAAGGACCCCATGTGAATAGGACACCCTACCTCTTGTAGCTCTTACCACCCTTGAGTTTGCTATCTTTTCGTGAATACACAGGCATTTTCCTGTCTTAGGGCTTTGCACTACAGTGCAGTTTGCCTGAATGCTCTTCCCCTGTATCTGTATGGCTGGTTTCCTAAATTCTTTCAGGTGTCTTTATTCAAAAGTCACCTTGTTGGCCGGGTGCCATGGCTAACCCCTGTAATCCCAGCACTTTGGGAGGCCGAGGTAGGTGGATCACCTGAGGTCAGGAGTTCGAGACCAGCCTGGCCAACAAGGTGAAACCCCGTCTCTACTAAAAATACAAAAATTAGCTGGGCATGGTTGCACACGCCTGTAGTCTCAGCTACTTGGGAGGTTGAGGAAGGAAAATCACTTGAACTGGGAGGTGGAGGCTGCAGTGAGCTGAGATCGTGCCGCTGCACTCCAGCCTGGGCCACAGAGTAAGACTCCATCTCAAAAAAAAAAAAAAAAAAAGTCACCAGTTACCTTGTCAATGAGTTTTTCTCTGGCCACTCCAAAAAGTAGCCCCTCCTAATGTTTCACATCCCCCCTTCCCTTTCTTTTCTTCTTTGCATTTACCCCTCTCTAATCTGATATTATGTGTTTAATTGCTTACTTTGTTTCCCCTATTAGAACATGAGCTTTATGAAGGGAAGAGATGAAGGGATTTTTGTTTGCTTTGTTCACTATTTTATCTCTAGTGCCTTGAATGGTGTCTGACACGTGGTAGACACATGTATAAATATTTGCTGAATAAACGAATGAGTAGAATAAAAGACGAAGGACCCCAAATTAGCGCGGACCTTTTAGCAAGTCACTTATCCTCTCTACACTTCAGTTTCTTTGAATGTGAAATTGAGTTTTGCATTAAGACAGCTCCCAGTTTCCCTCCAGCTATGTGCAGACATCTGTGAGTTAACTTGAAAAGCTGGGACCTTGAAAAGGGTCTGAAGATTTGGGTTCAAGCCCCAGTAACATCACTTGCCTGAGTCTTAGTTTCCACACAAACAAATTGAAAGGGCTCCACCCAGCGACCGCGAAGGGTAGTCTAGCTCTTAAACTAGAAAAAGCGTAATTAAAAAAGGAAGGCGCCATACCTCTCAATACCACACGGCGGCGCAATGGTCCACCTTTGTCTCTAAGAGGGCAATGCTGTGCCAAGTCCTGTACGAAACAGCCCCCACTACCGTGCAATGTATTATTCAGACAACTGTGACGGTTGCTCATTCCTCAGATCTTATTGGTTTGTTCAAATAACAAAAATATTTAAATTGTTACTGTTTTAGATAAGAAGGCACAAATTTGAGCTCAGTCTTGCCAACGTGATTTAAAGACCAAGGTTTGCCGGGCGCAGTGGCTCACGCCTGTAATCCCAGCACTTTGGGAGGCCAAGGCGGGCAGATCACCTGAGGTCAAGAGTTCGAGACCAGCCTGGCCAACATGGTGAAACCCCATCTCTACTAAAAATAGAAAAATTAGCCGGGTGTGGTGGAGGGCGCCTGTAATCCCAGCTACTTGGGAGGCTGAGGCAGGAGAATCGCTCAAACCTGGGAGGCGGAGGTTGCAGTGAGCCGAGATGGTGCCACTGCACTCCAGCCTGGATGACAGTGTGAGCCTCCGTCTCAATACATACATACCTACATACATACATACCAAAACGTTTGAAAAGCTAAAGAAGTCTAAATCCGTGTCAGGTGAGGGGTGCCACAGCCATGCTAACTTAGTCCACATATCTGTCTGCACATAACCAAGAATTTCTCTCCATGAGGTAGGAGGGGTGGGGAATAAAGAAACTGTTTGGATTCCAAGACCTTTTGTTTGCTTGGAAGAAGCTGTTAAAGCCTCTAGCAAATAGACGACTGTGAACCTAAGTAAGCCCTTAACAGGAGTCACTGTCGTTGTTACTTATTAATAGTGTCATCCTCAGCTTCTGTTTTCCTTCCTCCACCATCTCTCCAACTAACAATAAAGGTTTTAGTTTGAATTTTGTATTTAAAAAGACAAAAATGATTTCGTAGTTCTTTATTACAATTACACAAATATCACATGGTTATTTTTGTCGTAGGAAAAATAAAGAAGTAAAATGAAGTTTGGAAACGTGTACAGTAATGATGTGGAAATCATAGTTGGGCCATCTGTCCCTGCCCCAATCTCTTGTTGAATTGTAATCCCCAATGCGGGAGGTGGGGCCTGGTGGGAGGCAATTGGATCATGGGGGCGGATTTTTCATGAATGGTTTAGCACCATCCCCTTGGTGCTGTCTTCAGGATAGTGAGTTCTCATGAGATCTGATTGTTTAAAAGTGTGTGGCACCTCCCCTGTCAACTCTCTCTTGTTCCTGCTTTCGCCATGTGACGTGCCTGCTCCTCATTGCCTTCTGCCAGGACTGGAAGCTTCCCAAGGCCTCCCTAAAATCAGATGCTGCTATGCTTCCTGTAAAACCTGTAGAATCGTGAGCCAATTAAACCTCTTTCCTTTATAAATTACCTTTTCTCAGGTATTTCTTTTTTTTTTTTTCTTTTTGAGACAGAATCTTGGTCTGTTACCCAGGCTATTTCAGCTCACTGCAACCTCTGCCTCCCAGGTTCAAACGATTCTCCTGCCTCAGCTTCCCCAGTAGCTGGGACTACAGGCATGCACCACCTCACCTGACTAATTTTTGTATTTTTAGTAAAGATGGGGTTTCACCATGTTGGCCAGGCTGGTCTCGAACTCCTGAACTCATGTGATCCACCCGCCTTGGCCTCCCAAAGTGCCGGGATTATAGGCATGAGCCACCTATTATCTGGCCAGGTATTTCTTCATAGCAATGCAAGAACAGCCTGACACAGAAGGCACTAAAAATGACCCATGCTCCACCACTTAGCTCAGAAATAGCTGTTAAGATTTTTATATTATCCACCCAACACATTTGTAATTATATTTTATAAGGATTTTTTTACTACTCTTTCATTTATCATTATACTGTACACATTTCCACATCACTAAAATTTTTCATAATTATCAACAATAGCATACTGTTTTTTTAATAACCTGTTTAAAATTGACAAAAAGTGTATATATTTATAGCATACAACATGACGTTTTGACATATGTATACACTGTGGCGTGGTGAAATCAAGCTAATTACCAGATGCTTTGCCTCACATACTTATCGTTTTTGTGGTGAGAACACTTAAAATCTACTATCTTAGCAATTTCACAGTATAAAATATATTGTTATTAACTATATTCACCACGGTGTATAATAGATCTCTTGAACTTATTCCTTTTTTCTAACTGGTAACCATCATTTCCTCTCTTTTTCTATGGGTTCAACTTTTTTTTTTTTTTTGAGATGGAGTCTTGCTCTGTCGCCCAGGCTGGAGTGCAGTGGCGCAGTCTCGGCTCACTGCAAGCTCCGCCTCCTGGGTTCACGCCATTCTCCTGCCTCAGCCTCCCGAGCAACTGGGACTACAGGCACCTGCCACCACGCGCAGCTAATTTTTTTGTATTTTTAGTAGAGATGGGGTTTCACCGTGTTAGCCAGGATGGTCTCGATCTCCTGACCTCGTGATCTGCCTGCCCCGGCCTCCCAAAGTGCTAGGATTACAGGCGTGAGCCACTGCGCCTGGCAGAGTTCAACTTTTTTAGATTCCACAAGATCTATTCTATAAGAGAGTGAGAATTCATGTGATATTTGTCCTTCTCTGTCTAACATACTATTCTAATTGAAAATCAGAATATTTTAATGGTAAAAAATACTAAATAGTACAGGACAAAGAAAAAAAATCACTCCTAATCTCATAATCTAGACTGGTGATAATTGCTGTTCACCTTTTGATATATTTCTTTCAATAATATTAATGCATATATATTTTTTCATAAGATTAGGAATATATTACGTATATAGTTCTCTTAATTTTTCAAATTTATTTAAAAATTATTTGAAAATTACAACAGATTTCTTTTTCTACTTAACAAGATTATTTTCCCAGTCATTCCATGTTCTTCAAAAACATCAATGATAGGAATAATTTTCTCTTTCCTGAAATCTCTCTTCTTGTGATTAGAGCTGTTTGAGGTCCTGGACGGAAAGGCTTGGATGAAGTCCTTGCAGACTCAGCATGGTTGTAAGCAGTATAATTTCAGAGGGATGTCCCATGGGCTCACTCTGCAACCAGGCTGGATGAAGCAGAAATGATTTGACCTTCATGCCTTAATTAAAGGCTCTGATCACTGTTAAAATGCAACTTGCTCTCCAGAGATGCAACATTCTAAACAGCCCCCCATAGTTTATTGCTTTTCTGAACTGAGGTTTTCCTAGGAGATAGAAGAAAAGAGGAAAGATTTCTTACCTTTTTAGCGGTTCAAGCTGCATTAACTCATAATTCCTCAGAGAAGAATTAAATACTATCAATTGTAATAACATTTACAATTTATTAAGCACTTATTATTATGTATTAAGCACTGCCAGGAGGACCTCTTACTTCATCTAACCCTCACAGCAACCCCATTTTACACAATCTCATGTTACCAACAATGAAACAGAGGCTCCGAGAGGTGAAAGGCCTCCCACACTCGTGACAAGTTGATCAAGAATTCAAACCCAGGTCTGACTCCAAAGGTCTGTTCCATCAGCCCTGCCACACATCTGCCCAAACCATTTGCTTAAAATCATGTTTAATGCAAATAGAGTTTATGAATCAGAAACTAGGGCTTCTTTCCTGAAATGGTATAACATGAGAGGTGAAAGTGGTGGGCTGGCTTTTTTAGAAAAGGTCAAAGGGGCCAGGCACGGTGGCTCAAACGTGTAATCCCAGCATTTGAAGAGATGGAGGCAGGAGGATCCCTTGAGGCGAGGCCAAGAGTTTGAAGCCAGCCTGGGCAACACAGTGAGTCCTTATCTCTACCAAAAATTAACAAAATTAGCCAGGCGTGGTGGCATGAACCCGCAGACCCAGCTACTCAGGATGCTGAGGCAGGAGGACCCACTGAGTCCAGGAGTCTGAGGCTGCCATGTGATCAGCCAGCTATGATCGTGCCACTGCTCTCCAGCCCGGGTGACACAGTGAGACCTTGTTTCTCAAAAAAACAAAAACAAAAAAAAAAAAAAACAAAGGTAAAAGTCTGCTTGAGGGATTTTTTTTTTTTTTTTTTTTTTTTTTTGCATCAAAGTACTAATTTTAAATATTTCCCAAAAGAATCAAGGAAAGGGTGACATTCATTAACTAAGTCACAGTTTAGGCTCAAATAATAACAGTAACTACATGCTAGATTATGTGTTAAGCACATAACATATATAAGATAGGTACAATTATTCTTAATTTCCAGGTGAGGGATCTGGGGCACAGCAGGGTTAACTTGCCTAATGGTGTGCAGTAAGCATAGATTCAAATTCAGTCAGAAGCCAAGACCCCAAATTCTTCATTAGTCTGTGAAACCTGCCCTCCTTTCCTGCCTTCTTTCTTCCCTTCCCTCCTTTGCTTCCTTCCTTTTCTCCCCTCCCTGCTTCCTTCCTGTTTATCTCTTTTTTGTCCTTTCTTTCGTTCCCCTCCTGTCTTCCCTCCTTCCTTCACGCCTTCCTCTCCTCTCCTCTCCTATCTGTTCTTTTTTTTTTTTGAGACAGGGTCTCGCTTTGTCACCCAGGCTGGAGTGCAGTGGAGCAATCTCGGCTCACCACAGCCTCAACATCTCTGCTCAAGCGATCCTCCCATCTCAGCCTCCCAAAAGCTAGGACCACAGGCACCACCATGCCTGGCTAATTTTTCTATTTTGTAGAGATGGGGTTTCACCATGTTGCCCAGGCTGATCTTGAACTCCTCAGCTCAAGTGCTCCACCCACCTCGGCCTCCCAGAGGCCTCTGTTCCTTTTTCCTTCCTTCCTTCTGTCTCTTTCCTTTAGGGAAAACCCTGGGTTCAATTTCCAATCAAGAGGCCTGGGTGTAATTAAAGAGTGTTTCTGGGGGGTAATAGGCAGGTGAAAGAAGGAAAAAAAATATGTTGACTATTTGTTGGGTGTGAGCAGAATGCTAAGAGCTTCTGCATGTCCTGTCTCATTTAATCCTATAAACATCCATTATAACCAGAGATTATTATTACACCTACTTAAAAATGAGAAAACTGAGGTTCAAACAGGTGTCTTGCCCAAAGTCACAGCATTTTTAGAGGACAAAGCCAGGAGAAACTATGATCTATTGACTTAAGTCTAATGTCAACTTGCATCACTGATGGCTATTTTCTCCCTTCCTTATGCTATGCTTTTCAGCATGGTAGAGAAAATGTTTCTTTTTTGGGGTGACATCTGCCAACCCCCTCCTCAAAAACTTCCTCGTGGTAAAATCTTGGTAATTCCACCTCATTTTCAAAGTCTTTTACAATCTGCCCTTCTTTTATTTCAGCAATTTTATTTCCCCATCACTCCCTTTTCACATTCTCTCCTCTTCTCTGGCTGAAATTTCTATTATTGCTACCCACTACATTAATTTCTATTTCCACATCTTTTATTCTGTAGTAATCAAATTGTATATATCTTTCAATGTCCAACTTAAGCATCTCCTTATCCATTCTAGTCCTCAGAGAAGGCAATATTTGATCACCCCACAGTCCTACTGAAAACCTTTCAGTGATAATCTTTTACACGCTGAACAAAACCAAGGCTTCTTCGCCTCGGATTCAAGTCAGCCATCCAGTTGCAAATAAGTACTGAGACTCAATTATGTGCTAAGTACTCTCTAGGTGCTGGGAGAGCTGTGGAGAACCAGACAGACTGGTTCCTGCCCTTATGGTGAATGCACTAGACATTAAATAATTACAAATAATCAATTACATAATTACTAGTGTGAATCAAGTAATTACAGGGCCCTTTACAATCTGGTCTCAACCTATCTTTTCAGAGTTCTTTCTCATCCTTCTATTCCATCCAAACGGTCCCCCACTCCATGCTTTCCTACCTCTGTTGCTGTGCCTATTCCCACCCTTCTTTCCTGAACACACTTTTCCCTGCTCCACCCCAGTCCCCTCCAGGACCAGTTCTGCTTCTGCTTCTTCCATGCAACCCTGCCAGACAAGTTTAGTTTGAAAGATCTACCGTCATTTGAATCCCTAGCACTTATCCATTCAACAAATATTAACTGAATGACTTGTTGAAATGTTTGATGAATTACTCTTTATGAGATTCTAAATATACGCTATGGTATTAAAGGTTTAAGTTGTGCAGGGAATTAGAGTTTTCCTATTGAGAAGGATCAATGATTTTTCTCCTCTCTTCCCCTCTTCCCACGGAGTGGGAAGGAATCCATGAAACTAAATAATAGAACATACAAAATTATGGAGAAGTAAAATGACAACAAAGTTACCCAATTACTCATAATCCGACTACTTAGAGACCCACCACTGACATTTTTCTCTTTTTAGTACTTTTTTTCCCTGTTTCTGTTTTGCTGTGTGTCTACAGTTTGTAAAACTCTTTTTCCCTCCAGTTAAAAAAAAAAAAATTTTTTTTTTTTTGAGACAGGGTCTTGCTTTGTCACCTAGATTGGAGTGCGGTATAGCAAACACTACAGCCTTGACCTCCTAGGCTCAAGCAATCTTCTTGCCTCAGCCTCTCAAATAGCTGGGACTACAGGTTCGCACCACCATGCCTGGCAAATTTTAAAATTTTTTGTAGAGATAGGGGTCTCACCATGTGGCTCAGGCTGGTCTCCTTCCTGGGCTCAAGTGATCCTCCTGCCTCAGCCTCCCAAACTGCTGAGATTTCAGGTGCAAGCCACCATACCCAGCCCCAAGTTAAAATTTTATCAAGACAATTATTTTATGGCCTTTAAAAAAGCACAAAATACCTCCGCCCCCACTCCCTTGCTCTCTTCCGCTTGAGGGTGGAATGGTTTTGTCTAAAACAAAACTTAGAGAATTTACTCAGACTCATCCATATCTTTTCCAGTTCGTGGATTCTATGTATAAGAACCTGAGCATTGTTTTAGGGTCTTTACTTAAACAGAAATTCTTTCTCAAGACCTACTCTGGATGCTTTTTAGAACAAGCCTCATGTCTCTTCTTCAAGACCTTAAATGTGTGCTATATACAGTGTAGTCATATTGATGCGCAAACCACAGAATGTCCAAACTATGAGGACATATGATATCTTCCAGTTCACTCCCCTCACTTTAAGAGTACAGTGTTAGGACACCTGCCCAAAGTCATGTAGCTGCCTAGTTATCTTTCCAAATTGTCCCACTGTCTTTAGTTTGTGTAATAATAAACCCAAACTAAAATGCAACAAAAGCACTCACCCTTGCTAAATAAATAATGTCTATTCCTACCACTGAAGGGGAAAAGGTAACAAAGCTTGGTAGAGATTGGGCTAGATCTGCACTGGCTTATTTAGAAATTTCAGAGGACTAGGTGAGGTGGTCAAGGCCTGTAATCCTAGCACTTCAGGAGGCCGAGGCAGGTGGATGACTTGAGCCCAGAGTTCGAGAAGAGCCTGGGTGACACAGTGACATCTCTCTACAAAAAAATAAACAAAATTAGCCAAGCGTGGTGGCACATGCCTGTACTCCCAGCTACTCGGGAGGGTGAGGTGGGTGGATTGCTTGATCCTGGGATATTGAGGCTGCAATGAGCCAAGATTGCGCCACTGCACTCCAGCCTGGGCAACAAACTGAGACCCTGTCTAAAAAAAAAAAAGAAAGAAAGAAAGATCAGAGAACCTTTCTTACTGGAAGTCAACGTTGCCATGATAGGATTAAAGCAAGAACAAACATTATGGGCCTCCTATCTCGTTCTTAATGTTCAAAATGCAGGGTATAGCAAAAGCATATAGGAAGAGGTCGTCCTGACTCATGAACTCAACATCACTTTCTACGTTTATTCTGCTTTGGTTCTTCTTAATCTGACCTCTGTAGACTTCACCACGATCCAAGGTGTAATTCCAACAGGCAAAAGAAGCCTAAGGATTGTCGAACAGTTGGGTCCCTTCAGACAGACAAAGCCCAATTCATGGCAGCGTTCCCAGCCCCAGGTTGAAGCCCAGTAAGGTGGTCTCTTGCCTTTCTGAATTCTGAAAAAAGAGTGGTATTGGAATCTCTTCTTACCAGAACCCAGGAGAGGGAGAGCTGTGGTGCAGTCTTCCTAAAGGGGAGAACCGTAGTTTTCAGAGTTCTTCTAATGAACATCTCAATGGGCCTAAAGGGCTTCAATAGCAGATGAAAGGTTTCGGGGTGAGAATGGGCGTGGGCGAAGCTGATCCCTTTAGGTTGGACTAAGGCAGAGCCAGATCCAAAAGGGAGAATCCAACTGTAAAATGATCTGGGGAAGAAAGAGCTCTTTTGGGGGTGCAGCCGGATGAAGAACACCAGTGCTGCTCAGTGCAGCCCCTACCCATCCATGGCAAACAAAGGCAGCGGCCTCCTTTCCAGCCTTTTAGTTTGAACGAAGGCTCAGTATTACCTTTTAGGATCCACCCTTCCCTCCTAACGCACCCAATGAGGCCAGCGCCTCTTCCTGCCGGGAGGAGCTGAACTCTCCCCAGGAAACGGACAAGTGCCGCGGGCCAATGGTGGGAGCTGCGGCGGGCCAGTGGGCGGGAGGAGTGGGTCCACCTGGGTTTGAGAACCAGCGAGCCCACAAAGGGGGAGGGCACGATGCGACGGCGGCGCAGTGGGTAAGAGGAACCTGCGAGGCTGCCAGCTAGGCTACCCCAACTACGGCGGAGGAACCGGGGACTGGGCGGCCACAGCCAATGGGAAGGCGGCGGGCGCGGGGCGGGGCGGGGCGGGCGTGGGGCGGGGCCCCCTTGGGTCCGCAGGGCTGGGGCGGGGCCAGGCCTGCGTCAGGTGGTCCCGGCGAGCTGGCGGTGCGGGGGGCGGGGCACGGCGCGGCGCGGCGCGGAGAGGAGAGCTGCGGCCGGCGGGCGGCGGCGGCGGCACCGGCTGCGCGAGCAGGTACCGGCGGCGGAGGTGACGAGGCCGCCCCCGGGGGGCGAGCGGGCAGGCGGGGACTTGGCCCGCTGCGCCCCTAGGCTGCGCGGAGCGCTCGCGCTCGGCGCTCTTCTAGTACCGCGGTAACAGCGCCGGCGACCCAGCTCTCCCAGCCCCGCCAGCCCGGGCCCTACCTGCGGCCGCCGTCGTGGGGGGGGGTCCTCCCAGCTCTGCGGAGGCGCATGAACAATAGGCGGCGGCGGCTCCTGCGGGCAGCGGCGGCCCCGCACCCTATGGATCGGCCGCTCCATGGAGCCCTCCAGAGCGCTTCTCGGCTGCCTAGCGAGCGCCGCCGCTGCCGCCCCGCCGGGGGAGGATGGAGCCGGGGCCGGGGCCGAGGAGGAGGAGGAGGAGGAGGAGGAGGCGGCGGCGGCGGCGGGCCCCGGGGAGCTGGGCTGCGACGCGCCGCTGCCCTACTGGACGGCCGTGTTCGAGTACGAGGCGGCGGGCGAGGACGAGCTGACTCTGCGGCTGGGCGACGTGGTGGAGGTGCTGTCCAAGGACTCGCAGGTGTCCGGCGACGAGGGCTGGTGGACTGGGCAGCTGAACCAGCGGGTGGGCATCTTCCCCAGCAACTACGTGACCCCGCGCAGCGCCTTCTCCAGCCGCTGCCAGCCCGGCGGCGAGGACCCCAGCTGCTACCCGCCCATTCAGTGTAAGGCGAAGGCGGGGCCCGGGAGCCGGGCGGGGAAGGGGAATGATAGAGGCCTGGGGGGCGGTCGGGGAACGGGGGAGCCCTGCGCAAGGGCCAGGATGAAGGCGGGGGGATGGGGAGGAAGATTGACCTGGGTGTGGGTGGCGCGCGCTTGGGCTGCCCGGGCTTCGCTTGGTGCGCTGGATAAGCTCGAGACGCCGCAGGCCCTGCCCGCACTTCAGGCGCTTGAGCTTCTTCACCTTCATTTGGCCACCTCAGCAGTGGCTCCCAAATTCCTTATCCTGAAGTCCCAGCCTGAGAATTTGCCCGTTTCCCACTCCCTTCCTCCCTTACCGCGCCCCCCCCCCCGCCCGCATTCCCAATCTGGAAGTATTTAGGGCAAGCTGGTGGTTAGTGTCCAAACCTTAGTCCCCAAATCAGGGACCTTGCCACCACCTCTTCTAACGCCTGTCCCCACCTCTTAAAAGCATTTGCTTTCAAAGAGATGGGGGTGTCTCCTTAGGGCTGGGCTGGCTCACAAGTCCCGGAAGCATGTGTGAACTCAAGCATGTGCCTGTAAAATGTCGGGTTGATTTCTTGGATCCTAATCCTTATATCTCAGAAGTTGTACCTTTAGGAGTCTCACTGATTAACGTGCTAAGAGGGATGTGTGTGTTGGGAGTGGGAGTGGGACAAGTGATGATTAGAGAGGAAAAAGTATGTCGTTGCCCCATGGGAGATCAGGATTGCAAGGTACAGTGGCTGAATCCCAGCCCTTTGACAGTGAGGCTGTTTGGGAAATACATTTTCTTCTTTCTTCTCACCCTAGATCCTTGCCTATATTTGGAACTGGTCAAATCTCACGGGGACCATGCTCAGGGGTCCCTCCCAGGGCCTTTCTCCCAGTGTCCTGGTTTCCGTCAATTTTCCAGGAGCCCCATATTTCATACCCTATAATGAAATCTTCTTTGTTTTTTCAAGGGAGTTAAATTGCCATCAGAATCCCTTAATCATATTAGTTTGTTTCAGAAAAAACACTTAAATATCTCTTTAGTGCAGTTTACACTATTTTGTATTTGAGAGTTTCCATAATCTCTTATTTGTTAAAAAGGTATTGTTAATATGTATTAATTACTGTTTATTCCTTATTTTGTATACTTTCATCTTAGTTGATTTTTTAAAACGTCATTAGCAAGGACCAACTTTAAATATTTAGTTTTAAAATTTCCTTTGTGACAGTTACGTTTCTGGCTCTGTAACTTATTTTTTACCCCCACATTGTGTTACTTTAATCTTGAGGGTTTTTTTTTTTTTTTGAGATAGAGTGTCTCTGTCTCCCAGGCTGGAGTGCAGTGGCGCAATCTCAGCTCACTGCAACCTCTGCCTCCCGGGTTCAAGCAATTCTCCTGCCTCAGTCTCCTGAGTAGCTGGGATTACAGGTGCCCGCACCATGCCTGGCTAATTTTTGCATTTTTAGTAGAGATGAGGTTCACCATATCGGCCAAACTGGTCTCGAACTGCTCGAACTGCTGACCTCAAGTGATCCGCATGCCTCGGCCTCCCAAAGTGTTAGATTACAGGCGTGAGCCACCGTGTCTGGTCTATCTTAAGATGTTTTTTAAAAACTATCACGTAATATCAAAGTCATAGCCTCTTCACTTGTTTTTCTGCTCTTCCTTTTCTGTTGGTGTTTTGACTATCAAATTGACGTTCAAATCTTTAGGTTCCCCCTCTCCCTCTCATTCAGTTTAAAACTTCATTTTTCTTCATTTTAATCTTTAAAATGCTTGGAGGTAGCAAATTACTTTAAATTGTTTCCAGATACTACATCTTTTTGGGACTAGTTTGGTAGGCTTAAGGCTAAGCATCCTGGCATAGTGTTTTGAAAGTGTTGAAAATGAACTTGGGCATATATTGGAAGAAATATGAATAGCCTGGCATGTTAGAAAACATAGTGTCATTTTAAACATAAGTCAGATTTTGATTCTGTGGGTGAAGTTTTGTGATTTTGTTTTCAGGGACAGCTAATGTCAGAGTAGAAGAGCTAGATGAGGTTCATGATCAGAAACTCAGTTTCTTTAATATCTTGTGCTCTGGCTGCTGGAGCAGTCAAGAGTCAGTATGACTTAGGCTGAAAAACTGTCCACAGAGCCAGGCATGACAGCAATGTGCTACTTCTTCATTAGGTGACCAGGACTTATCTTCATTATCATACAATTTACTGTGGATAGAGTAGATTCCTAAATCTGGAACCCAGATGTTGAGACAGTAGGAAGTAATTTGTTCTAATGGAAAGAATTGACTCGAAGAATATGGCATTTGTAAGACCTGGCACATTCTTTTATTTGGCCTCACTGGAAGTTCTGATCTTGACTGGAATTAATTTTTGATCATTCAGAAAATTTAGTTTCAGTCAAAAACTAATCATTGAGTACCTAGTGAATGATAGATACTGTACATTGTGTTAAGTACCAGGACATAAAGAAGTGATAAGATCAGAAAGTGCTTTTAAGTTACATGAGGGAGATTAACGATGTAAATATAAAACTTCAGTGCAGTGTCTTGGTAAAGATGCAGTGCCTTGGTTCATCAGAGGGTGAACATGGGCTGTTACTGACAGGTGCATCTCTCATCTGTGTGCTCTACCAGATCAGTTCGTGTCACTTGGAAAGTGAAGACAATTGACAAACCTTGTCTCCAAAGACTTGGAATGAAATTGAGCCACTGACACCTCATCACCAGAGTTACCCTTTTGAACTTCCCCTCTAAGGATGTGTTGTGACGTTGCGTTCTGGACCATGAATAGAAGATGTTAAGTCAAGCAATAGTGTTTAGTTTTAGTTTCATATTATTGTTTCTTAAGTGAAAATTTAGCTTCAAACTTTATTGAAAAGCTTTTTTTGTTTTTTTAATTTTTAGAGACAGGGTTTCACTCTCTCGCCTAGGCTGAAGTGCAGTGGCGAAATCATAGCTCACTGCAACCTTGAACTCCTGGGCTCGAGGGATCCTCCCACCCCAGCCTCCTAAAGAAGCTGGGACCAGAGGCGCATGCCACCATACCCAGCCAATTATTTTTATTTACGTTTTAATAGAGATGAGCTTTTGCTTTGTTGCCCAGGCTAGTTTCGAACTCTTGACTTCAATCATTCCTCCCACCTCAGCCTTCCAAAGTGTTAGGATTACAGGTGTAAGCCACTGTATCTGGCCTCAAACTTTATTCAAAACAGAAGGGGAAAATTACTAAATATCATGACAAAGAAAACACATAAAAATGTTAGTATAAGTCATTTTACATTCTTATAGTGCTTTAATCCTCTCCATTGTAGGTACTTGTTAGCGTTTAGCTGCCTATGGATGACAAATATAAATAACCCAGGAGCTCACCCATCTTCTTTATTTTAGTGAAAGATGAAAAGTGTACAGTTCCAAACTCACTATCTTGGGAGGTGCAGTCCTCCCAAGAGAAATATGAAAGTTTCTCTTATAAGAGAGTTGTTTCAGTTTTCAAACAGGGCATACATTAAGGTTATTAGTTTATACTTTTTATTATCTACATCCACTAGAAATAGAAGGACATACTTTCAGATGTACCTAAGATTTTTAAGTGAGTGAAGTATATACCATTCACTTACTCAAAACCCACCAAAATGTGCCTAAACATTCAGTTTCCAAGCATATGATTGAGAGGGAATAACATCTTGACTTTAAAAATGGAAGAACTAAGGATTTATTCCTGATATTCTTGGAAATATCCTTCTACAGAAACTGAAAAATGTACTGAATGCAGCTTGACCTGATTTTTACTTAAAACCAGGTCTTGACTGGAGCAGGGAAGGGAAGGAGAGCCCCACATACTCTGCTGCACCTGGAGGTCTAGTTCCTTCGTTCCTATCCAACGGGACTGAGCAGGGAAGGAAAAAGATGGTCCTTCCTCCCCTCGTTCTTCCTGGGTTCTGTCTTTTATCAGTTTGAAAGCTGTGTTCTGTACTTTTCTTGGAGTCAGGTCATAATATTTTTTTAACTAAATAACAAGAACCTGGGATTTTTATGTTCTACCCAAAGAGAGGTTATTGCTTTCCCTTCCCTGCAGAGGTTTTTAGAGGAGCTGTCCTTTCAGCACCCTAGTACTGAATCATATCTTTTAAACCTCCTTGCATTTATTTTTTCAATCCCTCCTGCGTTTAAATAAATATTTAACACCTACTGTGTGTTTACAACTGTGCTTAAGACTGGAGGAAAGAAGGGAGGGTACAAGAGAAAGTACAATAGTTAAAATTCCTTAAGGAGAATTCAGATACTCAGTTGAGGAAATAAGAAAACAGATACAAATTTGTTAAATAATCGCACATCTTTTCATATGTGTAAAAGCTGCTAGAAAAACATGAATGTTCCTTCCCTTCATGACCAGGAAGACTAACAGGTATTTCTTCAAGAGGGTTTCTAATCTTTCTTTATAACATAGGCATATTTTCCTCATTCATAGAGATGACATCAGGCACAAATTAGTAATCAGTCAGGATTCATTTTGGGGCTCAGAAATGCTCAAGCTATTTTAAGCAAGAAAGAGATTTAGCACAGGAAATTCGGTGCTTGCAGAATTGTTGGAAGGGCTGAGAG